GGTTTCATATCTTCAGCTTTAACAATAGTTTCTCGATATGGTACAATCGGCTCTCCTGCTTGAATATCACACCCAGCAAATCTTTCACGAAGATCTGTCAAACAGCGCTCTAAATGCAACTCTCCTGCCGTGAGTAGGACATGTTCACCGCTTGCAAATTGTTCGTACTCGGCACAAGGATCACTCTGAACGAGTAACTTAAGACCCCGAATCATCTTGTCGAGATCTCCAGGCCAAGCTGGCTCTAAAGCGACACGAACGATAGGTTGAGAGCCCATGTTGACTCCTGCGAGATTAACACTCCCCTCCAATTGACTGCAGAGGGTTCCGGATTTGAGGATATGTCCTTCAAGGCCTCCAATACCGAATACAACACCTGCTGGAACAGAAGTAAGTGGCTCTAGTCCACGACCCATCAATAAGTATAAAGCAGTGACTGTAACCTTTTGTGGTTCAGGACTGTTGTGTGGATTTGCAGGTGAGAACTTTGGCGGTAATACATAAACAGAATCCCCTACAGATAGAGTCCCTGAATAAATTCGTGCAAAGCCTATCAGATGTTCTGGATCTGTTTTCTTCTCTTCTTCGGCGGGCTCTTCAAGGCTTACTGCTCCAAGCGCATCAGACACTCCATCAACAGATGTGGAGGCTTCTTCCAAAGCCTGCTGTCTTGCAATCTCTGCTCGCTTCCGTCGACCCATCTCCAAGGCTTCCTCGGGACTCAGGGCACCTCCTCGTCGCTTATTCTCGGGTAGTTCGCTCTCCGGGATCGAAACCATCTTACTTACATAAGCCACAACTGGCTCCTCCTTTGAAGTCTTAAATTTGATCATTGCTTCTCTGACCTTAGGATCTACATGCGATGCACCAGGAGATTCATCAATAAGTGCTGGTAGTCTACCTTCTTGAGCGACTGGAGGAGCGGGTAAAGATTCAATGACGGAAACTAATAAAGCGGTCGACAATGGTAACCATGCTGAGAACAATGTCGTAAGAATAGCTCGTGGATCGCGGGAACGCGTAACATGTGGAGGTAAAGTAATATTTAATGACTTTGTAATTTTCTCTGTCATGGCAGGATCACTAAAACGAAGTAGAGTTAGAATTGGGAATTGAATTGCATAAGATTGGATGTGTGAACAAGTTAAAGGAGAGATAGAATTTCACGCACCCCTTTCCGTTATCACCACCTGTTGTTGCTGCATAAACAGCCCATACCTGTTCCAAAACTAATTGGACAAATAATGGTTTCAAATTTCGCCCCTTGAGATGCTTTGGTCCAAGTACTTTTTTGGTCTTTGGATCCATATAGAAATCTCCCCACAAGACTTTCTCCATTGCGGTTCTTTTAATTCCCAGTTTCTTCTCATATAAGCTGGCAAACTGTCTAACTGTGAACGCCCATCCATCAATGGCACTGCTAAATATGACATTATTTTTCTCTGGCGCAAAGTAAATATCCTCATCGTCCTTTTCTTGGAATTCGTTGATAGCTTCGGTATCAATCGAGGTGCTTCCATCATTCGCTGTCTTTTCTTGTTCTTTCGCAGCGGCAGCGGCAATTCTCTCGTCGACCTTTTCTCTCCAGTTCAGATCTTCCTCCATTCTCTCACCTTGGAAAAAACTTCCAAGTACCGCATTAACTTGCTCCAATAATTTGCTCAAATGTGTATATGCTTCCGCTGGTGTCATCTTCAGCTCTGTAATAAGTCTGTCCATCTTATTGATTACCAATAGAGGCTTCATATGTTCTACCCATGTCTGCCTTAGAACAGTAACAGTCTGACTGCAAACTCCTTCTACAGCATCCACCAACACAACAGCTCCATCGCATAATCGCGAGGCAGTTGATACCTCACTGCTGAAATCGATGTGCCCTGGCGAATCTATCAAATTGATCAAGTATTCCTTCTTTTCGGGTGTAGCATCTGGCGCATTTCGTCTCAGCATGGAAAAGTATAAGGAAATGGCAGAAGATTCCATAGTAATTCCGCGCGTCTGTTCATCTGGTCGAGAATCCAGGTATCGTATTTTACCTGCGAGTTTCGGGGAGATGATGCCATTGGTCGCAATCAAGGCATCTGAGAGGGAAGTTTTTCCATGATCCTAAAGATATTAGCAATGGACAGAGAGATATATGAACGGGATATGTACTTACAACATGTGCTAATATACATATCTTGAGAGGACGTTGTTAGCATTGGGAGTCTTAGCATTAAATCTACCCCGCCAAAGACCTACATTTCTGATATCTGGCGCATTTTGTTGCAGAGCAACTAGCTTCTCTGGGTTAACGATCGGCATTCTGTATATGGATGTAAAATGTATGTTTTTGATATGAATGAAATATTGAACGCGAAATTTATATGCGCAAAGAGTATTTCTATCTCCCGTCGAGTCTGCCTATTTGGGGCGACTTTGTCTAGTGGATGGTTACTGGAAGTGATATCTCTATATCTATTTGAGCTTTGAACGTTTTTCTAGGTGGTATAGAATGAATATTTAATGCGCAAAAAAATGACTCATAATGATTCAATATGTTTCGAAGAGAGAGATAGTGTGTGATATATTGTAAAATATTTGAACTTCGACCATGGATACGTTAGAAAATGGATTATTTTCTGACGCGGCCGCTCTTCCGAGCATAACGTCACCGAACCCCGCCAAATCACAAAGGTTAACAATTATCACTTCACATGTTTGGGTAGATTATTTTGTGATTCTGTGAGATTACTTGAGTATTTATTGGACTAATAAGTCGCACACCACTCGAATACTTAAACATAATCGGGAACACTTTATAGAACTCATAGATGTTCCAGTTCGGTCATTGGAACTCACATGGCCCTTTGTGCTTGATTCCGAAATACCTTTCAACATCTGCAGCATCGATTTTCTACGTTCAACAATCCCATAAAGTTTCTCTTGGCCTTGTCACCGTTGGCCGTTATCTATGCATCTCAGGAGAATTTCCGCCATTCTCATTGTTCATAGAAGAAAGTGAGAACCAGTTGATACACCAGCAAGAAATAACAAGACTGTATGAAGTAGAAAGGGATATATTGATCGTACTTGCTAAAATTCAGTATAAGATAGGGTATAACCTTACTAGTAATGATATCGTACTCATCATATAAACTTGGATTTCCGGATCTGAAGCTATTGCTTAAGTGTACCTACCGTAGGTATTGAAGCGCCAAAGAAGCGAAGAATACACTGTTACACGTATCCATACTTGAAATGATCTAACATGGTATATTTCGGATGAACCGATATCCACGACGAGCGAGCGCGGCAACTTTGAGGGAGTATATATGGTAGGGGTATCTCGCTAAGCCCCTACTACACACTTTGAGCGATAACTAGACGAAGAATAATCATAGAAACTAGCTTCTACCTTTTGCCTTTCATATTGATCATGTTATTATGATGGAGAAGAATTTGAGAAGTGTTGAAGGAGTGTTAGTGGCTGTCCACATGAATGTCATTGTGTTAGGCCCACCAGTGGGTGTATCGACTGACGGGATATTGTAGGAGATTAACTTATAGATATCTTTTAATATTTCAATTTATATTGGATAGATCATTTTGTAGTTTCGTACTTGAATATCGGATTAAATCGCACACCAAATTCGAATACAGCTATTTAGTTAGATATATAGTAGATACGCTCTGTAAAACTCATCAATATCCCAATTCTGTTTTTACAATCATATGACCCTTCATGCTTGAATCCAAGATACTATTGAATAGCTTATTTCAAATATGATTACCAAGGCTTATAAAATCCGAATACATTTCTATATCCAGATTCAGATTTGACTATCAAATAACTCTTCAAGGTTAGGAATTAGAAATGGTATAGGATTTATCTTACCTATCACGTACAAGAAAGCGAAAGTAGCTAATCGACCGATCCGTAAGTATGCATACTCGAGTACTTGCTGTTGAGAAGTACCAGCATCGCACAAATGCAACTTCACATTCAATTATCTCATAAAGTTTCCGTTGGTCTTGTCTTCATTGGCCAATCATCTATATGTCTTTCAGGAGGATTTCAGTCATTCTTACCGCTATAATAACCTGTTGATGTATCAGCAAGAAAGACCAAGTAAGTGGGCATAGAGTAAAAAGAGATATATTGATTGTGCCAGCTAGGATTCGATCCAAGATACGTATGCTAGTAATGGTATCACGCTTTTCGTGTTGGTCTGGACTTCTGGAATTGAAACTATTGTTCAAGTGTGCCTACCCATAGGATAATCTAACATGGTATCTTTCGGATGAACTGATATCCGCAGTGAGTGTGGCAGGTAGGAGAGATTATAGGGGTGTTGCGATGAAGGGGTGTTTCTCTAAGCCCTCACACATTTCGAGCAATGATTAGACTAAAAAAGATGATGTGAACTGTTTGTAACTTCCACTTTTATCATATTTTGGTAAAGAGGAAGACTGTGAAGAGTGCCACAGAAACGTTAGCGACTACCTTCGTGAATATCAAATCGGCCAAAAAAATATAGAATACTGAATCAAATTAATCCACTTGGAAATGAATGTTTAGACGATGTGCCACGATTTCATAATGTGTTGCTTCTTTTAACTTAGCTAACATGCAATCACTATTCATACTGTGAATTATCGGTTCCCTATCACGTTCAAAAATCCAAAATGCAATCCTTCATCCCCCCAGAATCTCGCTTAGCACTTTCCCGGTCTGTCGACTTAGCCATCGCCGCGACTTCCCAGAGTTGAAAGAAGAAGACTAGCAGTGGCCGTCATTACCATTAGAGCTTTCACCATGTATCCTTCTTTCCCGCAGATGTTGAATATTGACTATATTAGAGTAGAAAATCGCCCACTTTCTTTGTTTTCCTCTATTTCCTTTTCATCAACTCTTCTCAATACTAATTTCTTCTCGATCGATAATTTTCTTCCTCCCGAGTTTCTTCTTATATCGTTTCGTTCTTTACTGAATGGATTCTGAGCTCTTGATTGCCACAATGCCATTGTTGAAGACCGCCTCGGCATCATTTCCACCGTCTCTCGCTGGTAACAGAGATGTATATACCTCACCACGTAAGTCAATACGATCTTCCATACCAACAACTCTTGGCAGGTCACTAATATACTTGCAGTCAGCAAATTTTGCCTTGTCGTTGAAATTGAACTGGTCAAAATGATCATCGCAGCAGGGTGAAATACTGCATGTATTGTGTTGTGACAGAGTGTGAAAGATTATATATTAAGGTATGGGTAGCTTTGCAAATGATTACAAAAAGACCTCTGAGGCTTTGGCCAATGACGATTTCAAATCGTTACGACTTTATGATGCATTGGCTACCCCATACTTCTTTACAGAACCGAGCGAGCGATCGAGCGTCCATATCGAAATCCTCAACCAAGAGAGAATGCTTGAGCAGCTCTTCGAACAAAATTTGCCCAACCCGACGAAAACGTACCGACCAAACGGGCTGGTGACTCTCTGACAAAGCAGGCTACAACGAGGTATGTTAGGCATCAATAACTTTGTCGTGTCGTTGATGCATTGTGCTGATGGAATTTAGAAGTGCAGTGTCGCTGGGAACAGGAGGCTGGAGGTAACATCGCCTCTCTCGGAAAGCCATCGCCAACAAAACTAAGTGTTGTACCTAGCTTGCGACGACATATCGACTGTGATTTGGAGGACAGCTTTGAAGATATCTTGCAGCAGAAGGGTGGGCGATGGAAATTGAGGAAAGGTGTCGTATCCATGTATTGTCCAAAAGTCAGCCTGTATGGCCAAGAATTCAAAGATTCCAATGTTCGATCCGCATGACCTTTAAATTGAAGCATGTATGATGTGATGGTAGTGTAGTGAATCATAACACGTGATGCATGGCCACTAGTGACGACTAGCTGTCTAGTTCGCTTTAGTTTTTTCCTGAGAGATATAAAAACCCCACACAACCTCAAAGGACCCAAGGCTACCACTACAGCCAGTGCGTACATATCTATCTGTGTTGCTACAGGGTGAAAAAAGCAACACAGTCTCCAAAAGTCGTAACGAGTTCTATCTATGATGATATCCGTTTTAAGAGGCAGAAAGTTTTCATGAATAATGATCTTAGGATCAAAATCCATTTGAAATACCGCTCTCGAGATGAAATTCTGAGATTATATCCATCAATGTCAAAGTCGTAACGAGTTCTATCTATGATGATATCCATTTCAAGAGGCAGAAAGTTTTCATGAATAATGATCTTAGGATCAAAATTCATTTGAAGTACCGCTCTCGAGATGAAATTCTGAGATTATACCCATCAATGTCAAAGTCGTAATGATGTTATCGATGATGATATACTCTGAGACATGGAAACAAACCCGAATGCCGGCAGTACTCAAGGGTGGAACAAATTACTGTAACAAGCATTGATAGTGGACACTCACTCTGAAGTTTTGAACCGACAACAAATCAAATTCAGAAAAGGGGGATGGAGGGCTCGATGGGGGGTAAGAAACGAAGGTGGAACCATGATGGAAACTGTTACGATCAAGCTTTCCCATGTACGACTTTAGCAGACGTCGAAAAAGCTCCGAGTACATTTTATCTTGGGAGGTAAGATGTTGAGGCTGCTGATTGGGTTTTTTCTAATTTTATCCATATTCTTATTGCTATGAAACATCTTTTGATTAGCTATATATAGGTATATTCGAGGGATGGGTGGGAGTCATGGGAATCATGGGAATCATGGGTAGGTAGATCCAATCATCATCTACTCGAGTATGTATCATTGTATCCCAATTCGCTCTCCTGCCTATCATTTCAGCCATCTAACCCAGTCCAACTCGAATGATTCGAAACCAGTTTGGCGTTCATCAGATGAATGATTAGACATCAAGGCCAAACCGCCCTTGTAACGGTTAGAGCAATGTTTGGAAGATCTTCACCCAATCAATCCTTCAAATTAAAGAATGTTCCATAATTAATTCCTACACTGTAGATTTATCCCCATCATGATCCTTGATGGATTCGGTTCACCATCATAGATTCAGAGGTGAATGATCGGGAAAAGGTCCAGATGTCAATGACCAGACCTGTTAATAATAATCCATACTAATAATAATAATAATATAAAACCACCAACCAACAGGAAAAGAAAGGAGTTGTTGTGTGAATGAACTTGTTCTTTGTGTAAATAAATAGGAGAATAACAATAAAGTAGATTCTAAATCATATTACTCTGTACTTTCATTACATTACCTACCTACATTCACATTCCCTCGTTGCCTCGAATAATGCAGTCGATTTTAACCTCATCCTCATCATATCTTAGAGAGCGGTGACGACCTTTTCTACATTATTCCATATCAACAACCAGACAGCCAGACGAAACCACATCACAAACATCATCCACCCTTCCAAACCAAAAATCGAGGTGGCTGAACAGAGCCGAAACTTCAATCCTCAAACTCTAGACCAGAGCATTTTCTCAAGATTACACTAGGAATTTTTAGGAAACTAGCTTGAGCACTTCTTTCTACAACATTTACAATAATAAACGACAGACCCGAACAACTTAATATCAAACTCCGAGCATAACCTCTCTACCACGACGAATTGAAACTCTTCGAATCATAACCCTCTCATCAAATTGCATAATCAATTGTTTACAACAGTATACATGCCTGGAATCATCATGGCGGAAGTCCAGCAACCGTCTCTACAACAAAGCCAACCACGAGCAATCCCTGGACAGGACACTGCTTTGCAGATAGCACCCCCAGCTTCCACAACATTACCTCAATCTGCCTCTACAAATCGCATTCGAAATTCGCATCTCGCTTTAGATACCTTTTCTCCCGTGAACCAGAATGGAAGCTTCGAGTTTGATCGTGTATTGAAGAGTGGTTGTTTGCAGAAACGAACAAGGAAAACAAAGGTATGATTTCATCGACTAGATTTATATTTACATTTACTCATCTACTTTCCGCAGGCATGGAAACCCGTATTCCTCGTCCTGAGACCAAATTATCTCTCAATCTACAAAGATCAAAATGAAGATAAACTTCGTCATAAGATTCACCTCTCCGATCTAACAGCCGTCGCCTTTCTCAAAGATCCCAAACAAAAGCGGCGCAATGTCTTCGGTCTCTTCACTCCCGCTCGCAACTATCATCTGGAAGCCACCACCAAAGGCGACGCCGAACAATGGGTCGATCTCATCCGCAAAGAAGCACGAATCGACGAAGAAGAAGAGGAAGAAATGTTACTCGCCAGTCCCTCCGGTAACGTAAATAGTACCTATCCGGGCTTCGACCAAAGCATGGCGCACGAACAACTCCAACGAAGAAGCGAAGCCCAAATCCTGCACGACGAAAGACTAGGAAGTAGTTCCCCGGAACCCACAGAACCCATCATCCCCCGCGCAAACAAGAAACAGAACATGTCGGCCATGGGAGGAGGGAGACGTCCCTCCAACACGATTGAATATTCCGGCAACGAACTCGTCTCCGACGCCGAATTCTCAGATACAGATCTTGCGCGCGTCCCCGGAATGTCGACGCTTTCTCTGACTCTGCACAATCCTCCTCCGAATCCCAATCCTAATCCCAATCCCGATCTCGAAGTCAAACCTCCCGCGAACACTCTCCCCCTCGGCCGCAATACATCACAGTTATCCCTCTCGCACCCTAATCCCCTCCCCGAACACGATCCCGAACGTGTAGTATACCAAGGATATCTTCTCTATCTGCGCTCGAAGAATGGGATTCGCTCTTGGAAGAATCTCTGGGTGGTGCTTCGTCCGCGCTCATTATCTTTCTATAAAAATGACTCGGAATACTCGCCCGTCATGATTTTACCCATGGAAAATGTAATTAATGTCGTGGAAATCGATCCGTTGAGTAGGACGAAACGATATTGTTTTCAAGTGATTGGGGAGGAGAAGAGTTTTAAATTCTGTGCGGGAAGCGAAGGGGCGTTGGTTAATGTGTTGGGAGCGTGTAAGAGTTTATTGGCGAAGAGGAAGGGTGGCGTGGGTGCTTGATTGTGGGATGAGAGATCGCTCATCCCCTTTTACGGGATGAAGATGAAATGGAAGAGAAGATAAGATAAGATACCTAGGTATGAAAAAGAATTCCTAGTATCCAGCGTTAGGAATTGTACATAAGCTGGTAGATTTGAGCGAAGGTGCTTGCGAGCGGGGATAGGAGTGGGAGTATGGATACAGGACAATGGATGTAGAGGAAGAGTGTGATCAAGGCGTTTGTTGGAGAGCGGAAATGGGATTGGGATGAAGGTATAGAAAGTCCCGGACTGATATAATAACGATACGAAACGAAACTTATGATGAGATGTAAATGTTAATTGCAATTCAATATGCAAATTTATTTCTTGTACTTTTGGTCTTTTGTTTGTGTTTTTGTTTGTCGTTGTGTGTATATACTTATTTACCTATCTCATTATTCACAGGCTGGTTGTTTTTTTGTTCTTATGTTGGTTATTCTTTAATGGAAGGATGTGGGAGCTGAGGGGAGGAGAGGAGTTTCTTGGTTTATTTTATTTATTTTGTTTATTTTGTTTATTCTGCTGTATTCTGCTCTGCTCTGCTCTGCTATATAATATTAAACTAATATAATATAATATATATGACACTTTGCCTTAAAAGAACTGCGAGAACAGGGTACAATTTATCCTTAGAATCTACAATTACAGAATCGGGAGCAAAGCGCTTGTAGAGCGTTCCTATATACTAGCTATATATATGTGATCGTACACATGCGCAAGCGCACACATGAGCGATCGCAACTGCGATTGGGTGCGATCCGTGACAATATAATACAATATAATAATTTATAATAATTTATAATAATTTATATTTATATTTAAATTTAAATTTAAATTAATTTGATTATAAAGAATCGGATTTGAATGTTTATTTGTTTATCTATGGGAGTGGAGGTGGAGTAAGGATATCTATTTATCTATCTATCTACAGCAGGATGGAAAATGATAGAAAGGAGATGATAGAAAGGAGATAATGGAAGGGAGATAATGGAAGGAAGAAAGGGGATGGGGTGGGTAGGCTAGTATGGTGGAAGGGAAGAGGGGATAGGTGAGCAGGTGAGCAGATGAGGAGACAGGAGAAATGAGAAATGAGAAATGAGTGAGGAGAGGGGGGGAGGGAGAGATGAGGAGAGAGATGGGTGAGCAGATGAGAGATATGGGGAGGAACGTAGGGGAGGGGAAGGGGTAGAGGGAGGGGATATATACACTGGCTTATAGGAAAGGGGAGGAAAAAAAGAGGAATGGGTGAGGAGAGCAGGGGGGGGCCAGTATGTATTACACTGACTTATGGAAAAAGAGAGGAAGAGAGGAAGAGAGGAAGAAAAAACTATTGAATATCAAATACCAGATCCCAAATCCCAAGTCCCAAATCCCAAATATTAAACATTCAATCAACAATACAAGCATATCTCAGGCTTTTCCTTGGTGAAATTTCTTCTATTTTAGCTATCTAATAGACCAAGATGACAATCTATCTATCTATCTACCTGTGTATAGAACTAGCTAGCTAGCTAGTCAGTCGTAGAAGTTTGAAACTACTTACTAGGTAGGTACTGTTGAAATCTAAATGTGCATGTAGACCTGTGATATGTACATACCATACCAGATACCACTCCTGTTTGCACTATTTCGATGGCGATTATCCATAAGATCCCTAGCATCTTGAGAAATCTTGATTCTTCCTGCAATTTTCTTCGCTATAGCCTTTCCTATCCACCATATCATTATACCCTGTGCGAGTTTTATTTATATCCTTCGTGCTATCGTTCTTGTAACATTTCCCTTCGTATCATGTCATATCAAATTCGTCTTGTAGTGTAAGGATCCAGTGCCTTATATTATACCCCATACAAGTCTCTGTACCGTTCGTCGTTGTCGTAATCTATTGCATACAGCAAAACCCAATTTCATAACAGAAATCCAATATACTTTTTGATGGTGCAATTGCAAATCAGTGCAACAAAGCCCATGCCATAGCCAATCGTCTTTCGCTCTGTGCGTGTGCGTGTTATTCGTATGATCCGTACTGTAGAACCCCAAAATCAAAATCCCCATTTTCGTTGTCCATCTAGCTACATTACCACTTCCACCACCGTTTCCTTGAATTTACTCCTTTAGATCTTTGTTTTAATATTGTGTGATCAAAACATCTGGAACATGTAAACCAACACCCTCCTCCATAACCGCAACTCCATCCTCTACCTCCAATGGTTCCGCGCCGAAAAAGTGACCATCGGACTCGGTTGCTTCCATCAAAGTGGGTGTGGTAGGCGTGGCTAGAAGTGAGACTTCGGATGGATTTTGTGGAGGAAGAGGAATGAGTACTGCATGATTTTGAACGATATTTGAACCCATTGCTCTGAATGGATTGGTATTATTTTTTGAATGGTGGATAGGGGCTGATCTCCCAACGTAAGGGAAAGGATAAGGGCTGGATTCATCAGATGTTGAAGTACCATCGGAAGAAGAGGACGGGAATGATCCGGCGGTAGAGGAAGGGGGTTCGGAAAAGAAATCAGAACGATGGTAAAGCGTAGGAACTTGAGGTACTGAGTTACAGGAATCCGTCTGAGAAGGTGAAGAATTGGTGTTCATGTTGTTGTAGTTGGATGTGTTAGTCGATCGATCAGTCAAGACACCAAGACCAAGATCAGTTGCTCGTCGTTGAAATCGCAAGTTTCGGGAACATGGTCTGTTTGGTTCCTATATCAAGTTAATTTTTGTTCTTGTGTGCGTCATGAATTTAATTATCTGAAAGGAGAACATTACAACAGGAACTGGATTTGGTCTCAATCCCAAATTTCTAACGACCTCAACATTGCCCACCGGTCTAAACTTTTGTAAATTGAACCCAAATCCAGTGGTGGCGGTACAGGGCAAGTCATCATCTGCAATGGCATTGAGACTAAGATAGCTGCGATCAAGAAGCGTGGGTCGACAAGTATGACAGCATTTAAATTGACACTCGGTACCTCTTGATGGCAACCATGGGCGTGGATTAGTAATTCTCAAATTTGGGACTGTTTGAGAAGTGGTTGGAGATGGGCGAGAGAAAGGATTGAACAAAAATCGTGGGATGTTACTGGAAGAGTTCGATGGTGTAAGGACAGGCTCCTCAGAATTGGCAAGTACATCATGAAGCTGATTATGAATGTTAGAAAGCTTTCGAAGAATGAAAGGATGTCGAGGACTTACATGACTACGTTGTTGGAGGATTGTCTGAATTTGAGAGGGTGAATAAGCTTTGAGGTCTTTGCTGTTGATTTCGTCGAGGAAACTAAATCTTGATCTACGTGCCTCTGGTCCACGTGGTCGAGGAGAAGTTGGTCTTGGGAAAATATCACAAAGGTCATCGAGTTTCTCCTGACTCTTCAACAATGTCAATAAATAATCCTAAACGCAGAAGGTAACGTTTCGGTGAAAACTTACTGCGTGTCCATGATCCATATCATCCTCCAACATAAGTTCACGATCCTGAGTACATCTCCAAAACCCATCCAAACGAACCTTCTCGAAAAACAAATCCCACATCGAAACTCTTTTGTGAAGAGTCGTGTAGTAGTCAAATGTGTGCATTGTACATTTCTTGTAACTTGTGCAGTGCGCCTGGTACTGTCTGCCACAGCAGGCAAAGAATGTCGATTTGTATTGGTAGGCATTGTAGTAGTCATTGAGGATATGATACTGGCTGTAGATGCTGATGTACGTCGTACTGGTAACTTCGAGGATCGTGTTGTAGTATTTGTTGTTGATTTGGTTGCTGCCATGATTGTAATGGGAGGATCAAGAAAGCTCCAACAAACACGTTGAGAAGTTTTCAATTGAAATGAGAGAACGATTCACTGTCAGACCTTGGAAGCCTTTGAAATTGAAGTTGTTCGATTGAATGAACTCCTGAGAGTGGAAATAATAAAGAAGCCAAATTCGAGGTTGATTGAATGAATTTATTGATAGGTTGTAAAAGTATTTTCTTATTTTTTTATTTTTTCACCAAATCAAGACAAATTTCGACTCGCTTCGAGAATCAAATTATGTGTATTTGCCCAAATTTTCTTGAAGAAAATATAACCAATAGGCACACAGACAAGAAGATACCAAAAATGACAGGTGAAAGTGAATTATAGCTTCGACGGTTGATCTCCCCATGTGAATTGGGTTGAGATGAAACCAACCATCCATAGGTATCATTGCGATTATTGGATACCCAGGTGGCTCTGTTCAGCTCGTTGAAGTTTGAAAAAGGAAAGTGTCGCATTCCAAAAAAGAACATCTTTGGTAATTTTTACACTCATAACCAGATGTGTGGGAGACCATCGTTCCTGCCATTCTCGTAAGAGGTTCAAGAGGTTCAAGAGATTTTCATTCTGGGGAGGAAGGAATAGAAAATAAATGGCCACCGTTTCTATCCTCTATCCTCTATCCTCTATCTTCTGTCCTCTCTTTTCTCTCATCCAACCTCAACAGGTACCTAGTACTCACTTGAGGCATTTACTTACTTGATACACTTTCGTGCTGAATTCCAGCATTCAATCCACTCGCAAAATTATCATCAATACTCCTTCCGTATGTATTTGATGCGATTATGTAGAGAGATAAGTTTCTGAAATGCCATCTCTCAGGGCTCTGCGGAATGCAGGGTTGCCTTGGATATTTATTTGCTCTTCAGGTTCTTTCAACATGCAAGCTTAAATCGATCTTCTTTTGGAATGACAGCTGGAACAATGCTACTTGAACCTGCTCAGAATTTCTATGCAGCTTTGACATCTGCACTCAAAGAGTGTACTTGGGGAGTTTTCTTTGCAAGTTGCAATTGTTCTTATAAACCCAAGCACGTTCGAGTTCCACCCATGAATATTTATGAAAATTCAGATTTATGCTTCACAATGCAACGCAGAATCCAAGGAACGTTCGAAAGATCTGGACGAGTGTCAGCATACAGAGGTAAATTGCCATCCTTCAAGGATAAAAACTCGAGCATACGGTACTGTATCTCACAACACGTAATCATACATGATGACAGGACGAATACACTGGATGGATCAATGTATGATTTCGTTAGCATGAAGCTATCGTGGTTTATGGGTTTTGGAGTGCTTTATCAGTTCCAAGTTGCAGAAATTTCAACTGTGATGTCTCAAAACTTGGACACTTTTTTTCATCCAGGTCCCACACATGTCTCTCATTTGATCATCCCATCATTCATAAAATTCTAGACTTCATGAGCGAGTATGCATTTATATGGAGATTGTACCAATGAATGTTTTTGAGCTTGAGCTGGCCAATGCACGAACCTGGGTAGATCTATGTTGAGTAGAGATATCAATTGAGAGCGGAATGATCGTTATTTGTCATTTCGAGAGAGTGGGAGTGGGTGAAGAAGAGAAGGGAGAGGAGCGAAGATGATAGGAAGCGACAGTGGAGAGAGAAGGAGAAGGGATATGCTGTATGAGGTGATGAGGTGATGAGAGCTGAGGGATGATGTGGATGACTGAAATGAAATGATATGATTATGATGTGAATCAAATCTGAATACCTAGCGACACTCTAACATAAACGTTAATATGGAGACGGAAAACGAGACTAATTAAAAGAAAGCAGCATGCGAGAATGTTTACGGATGTATCTATCTTAGCACGTCTTGGAAATCTCGTACCTTGAATACCTCGAGTACCCTTCAAAACAAATATTTCTGAGTGTACCTCGGACCGTCTACTCCAAAATGGACCTTCGTATCGTTAATATTAATTCCCAGCAAAGGACATGCGGCGGGCAAAGGGTTTTAACTTTTCATTTTTCTCATCAAACATTATTCTAATTTATGATTCCTAATTCGATATCCACACCAGCCACGTCCCCATCCGTCTTCGTTATCGTTTTTTAAGGTATTAAATAGGTTGAGTGGTGTGTGAATGGTGTTGGAAGTGAAGACGATCCGAATTTCGAACAGAAAGCGAAAGCGAAGAGAGAGAAGGGAAAGAGAGAAAAGAAGCACTATCGTCATTATCATTACCGTTACTATCATCACCATCATCATCACGCATTCATTCATTCACCTCGACCCTTATTAATCATCGCTGTATTGCGTTCTCTTATCTCGACTCGACAACTCTACTCCATCTTTGTTTCTTTATATCTTACTTGTATCTTGTAATCTGTATCTTGCATCTTGCACCTTGCATACTCTCTATTCGGTGAGAATTAGATGACTTTTTCCAGCAGACCAAATCCTTGTTAACCCGCTAAATCATTTAGATCAATCTCCGCACTTCCCATCCTACCCTACCCTATCCCATCCTGTCCCATCCCAATCAAATTGCAATTCAGATTCAGATTCGGATTCAGATTCAAAATCACAATCAACCGACCGATACCTCAGTGCCTACCTATTGATTGATGCCAATTTCATCAGTACTCACTCACACTCACTGGAGGGCACCTAGTATTACCTACTCCGTCCTAGGTATTATTCCTGCTTCAAACTCAAATCGAAGTCAATAATCGTATTCCATCACAATTAATACATATATGATATTACATATCTACCTGCCAGCCGACCAACCAAACCATCCATCCTTCCTACCACCTCACCTACCTACCTCCCCTACACCCTGCTGATATCCGACCCGAAAAAGCCTTTTCTTGACCTGACCTGGAAAAGCTACCTAGCTACTTTTTTCCTGCCACCAAGAATCCCTCCTCTCTCCTCTTCTCACCAGCCCAGCCTCCAACGACTAAAACCTTTTGGGCCACCAAATCTCAATTGGTTGTGCAAGAGAATAAACATCGTGTCAACAAATTTTACATCAATTACTTGCACATCAGTAATAAAATAATATCCCCCCGACAAAAAGGTCAGTTCACTTAATCCACACCCCGCATTATTTCCCAAACAATAGGTACAGAGAGATGATTAGAGAACTTTGATAAATCCTATCCATCCATCTATCCATCTATCCATCTATCCATCTATCCATCCTCTTGCGCAATTAGTCCTGAAGAGAAGAAGAGGGGGGCCTGTCTGCGCCTCGATCCAGAACTCTTAACTGTTACCTTAGCTCACCTCGGCTCCGCATCATAAACAACGAGCGTGAGAGAGAGAGAGAGTGAGAGAGAGAGAGAGCTTGTTTCTTCTTCTCCTCATTTCTTCAACTTCCCGATATCACCGTCTTAATCAAACAAGTCGCATTCACGAATGTTCACAAACTTTCATACTAATTAATTGTTGAATTAAATAGCTTCCGAGGGTTTGAATGACCTCTCACCCATCACAATGTCGGTCAAATTCGAGAAAGATACCATAAAAACCACCGGTCCTCTTGCAGGAATACAAGGCGTTCCAGCGATCGATGTTAAAGAAGTCCATCATCATCACCATTTACCAGGCCATAACTTAAGACACAATGTTGGTGTCGCATTAACTGGAGGCAAAGCCAATGAAGGAACGCGAGGATATTTATCTGTGAGCCATTGATCTTGGGAAACCACCCATCGCGCAATCAAATCGTTCAGTCACTAATCATGTTATCTTTCAATAGATGTATCTCAAAGAGCTACAAACCAATCCTCTTCGTACGAAAATGCTTACCTCTGGCACATTATCGGCTCTACAAGAACTGTTGGCCTCATGGATCGCGAAGGATCGTAATAAGGATGGCCACTATTTCACATCTAGAGTACCCAAGATGGCTGCATACGGTGCTTTCATCAGTGCTCCACTAGGCCATGTATTGATCAGTATTTTGCAAAAGATATTTGCTGGACGTACGAGTTTGAAGGCCAAGGTTCTTCAAATTCTTTTGAGCAATTTAGTTGTAGGTTCAGCTCGTTTGTTCATTGTGTAAACAAAGCTAACGATTGTTTAATCAAGGTTGCTCCAATTCAAAATACAGTGTATTTGATCTCAATGGCACTTATTGCAGGCGCAAAGACTATTCATCAAGTACATGCGACTTGGAGAGCTGGATTCATGCCAGTTATGAGAGTCAGCTGGATTACTTCTCCTCTCGCTCTAGCTTTCGCACAAAAATTCCTTCCCGAGCATACTTGGGTTCCATTCTTCAACGTCATCGCTTTCACCATCGGAACCTATGTGAATGCGACCACAAAGAAGAAGCGTCTCGCAGCTCTTCGCAAGAGACACTACGATGAGACTAGAGGAGGAAGATCCGACGACTACCCTGGACCACATAGTGGACCAGGAAGAGAAATGGGAGGACCAGGACAGAAACGCGACTACTAATTTTACGAAGGGACGAAGGGGAAGGGGGTCATTAAGATGAAATAGCACAGCATGAACCAAATTCGGCTGTGCTTATTGTCGCAAATTTTTCCTTATCATAATGTATTTTCGGTTCACGGATCTCAATTTGGCACGAGGTCAGATTTACTGGTTATGGGTGGCGACCGCTTGCAGATATCCTTGTGGTCCATGCGAGGCCTTGCTTGCTTCTTTCTCGGGGGGCACAATACCACGTAAAAAGCCTCACCCTCACCTGTTGTATAGTTTTTACGATTTCATTGGTTATAAGTAG